GTATCTTTATTTTTATTTATTTATTTTTATGTTGTACTGAGGATCAAACCCAGGGCCTCACGCATGCAAGGCAAGCGCTTTACCACTGAGCCACAACCCCAGCTTATGATAAGAGACTTTTTAAATACAGTCCTTGACTGATAACTGTTTAGTATTGCCAGAAAATTATAGGCTTTTTATGTTGTTGGGTTTTTTTTTTTTTTTAAGAGTAAATTTTTACACAATTATGTTGTGGTTTTGTGTTCTTTTCCGCTGTTATAGCCTGATGGCAAGTAACAAAGTTGACTGCTTTTATGCCCCAGTGTATAATGTTCTAATGGTCCAGCAGCATAGCAAATGATTAGAATTTTGACAAAGACCTCCTGTCTTTCATTAGGAGAATCCCAGACACTTGAGTAGTAGTAGACTTCTTGCTGAGTGAAAGGGGAATAAATTTTTTGTTGTTGTTTTTATCAGTATTTGCTTTTTTATCCTCTTCTTGGATAAATCAATTTATGATGTTGTTTTCCATCAGGTAAAAGCATATATTGCCATTGCAGGATGTCCTTGTCTCAGAGTCTTTGTGCAGCAAGAATTCTGTATTCACAATTTGTTTTTTAAATTTCATCTTGTTGTTCAATCTATTTGCTTGCCAAATTTAGTGAAAATAAATTTTCCATAGCAGTGGTTTTGTTACTATCGGGAAATTCAGAGGAATTTCTTGTGGTATACCTCATTCCTTCCTTCTTTCTTGTTTTAAATGTACAAAATAATTAGCATTTCAAAGGATAAATAAACTTGATCTTTGGGTAGGAATATATCACTTTACTGAGAACCTAATTTGAATTTTAGTTTACATGATCTTTTTTTTTTTTTTTAAGGTACTGGGGGTGCTTAACCACTGACCCACATCCCCAGCCTTTTTTATTATCTTTTTCATTTTGAAACAGGGTCTGCTAAGTTGCTGAGGCTGGCTTCGAACTTGTAGCCCTCTTCTGCCTCCGCCTTTGGAGTTGCTGGGATTATAGGCATGCTTCATGGTGCCCATCTAGTTTACATGAACTTAAGTCTTTGCAACTTTGTTGTCATGTTTTCCATTGTCTCTCAGATTCTGTCAAATTCATGTCATACAGAAATCTTCTTAAAAAGTAAATACATTGGAAAGTTCTACATTAGAATTAAAATTCTCTTCAAAATAATATTATTATTATAATAGATGTACCTTGAATATATTATATCTGTTTATATGAAGCTTCCAGAATAGGCCAGTCTCTAGAAAGAGCAGTTAGTTTTGCCAGGTTTTGGAGGGTAGAGTTTAGAGAATTGAGCTGCTTAGTGGTTACATACAGAATTTCCTTTTTCAGTGGTTGCACAGTGCCACTGAATTGGACATTCTCAAATGGCTAAAATGGTAAATTTTATGTTGTATATCTTTTAGTACAATAAAAAGTGCTGGAGTCGGTTATTTTATGCTGATGCTGTTATAATTTTGGTATTTTTTTTTTGAAAGCTTAATCTTCTTTGATATGTTTTATTTAGGTAAAATGATCCATTCTATGGTAGCTCATTTGGATGCTGTTACAAGTCTAGCAGTAGATCCTAATGGAATCTATTTGATGTCAGGAAGTAAGTCTTGAATTTCTGTACTACTCACAGATTTTATAAAAACAATTGTTACTCAGTAACAAGCTATAATTGTTCTTTTACAGGCCATGACTGTTCCATTAGATTATGGAATTTAGACAGCAAGACATGTGTACAAGAAATAACAGCTCATAGGAAGAAATTGGATGAGTCAATTTATGATGTTGCTTTCCATCCATCAAAAGCATATATTGCAAGTGCAGGAGCTGATGCCCTTGCCAAAGTTTTTGTGTGAATCCACAAAAACTCACATCATGACAAAAGATTTGCTTGGACAGAAAAAGGGTCTCCATCACTGCCATCAGAAAGGTTATTGATATAACACTACATGTGTTCTGCCTGGTGAAGGCTATTTGGGGCAGGCATAAATTGGTAGAAATCACATCTTAATGTCAGGCTCATTAATTTAATTGTAATTACTGTATTTTGTGGGACATAAAGAAAAAGGACTCCAGTATTTGTGGCCTGTACTGGATATGAACTGAGCGTATGTCTGTTTTTTAGGTGTCTCTAAACCAATGTGGAGTCTGATCTTTCAAAGACTTTTTTTTTTTTCCCCTAAAGGACTCTGTGTGCTGCCTTAGGGTTAGGAATGTGGTGCTCTTGTGGGGGAAAGTGAGCTCCAAGAGTAGCTTTTTTTCCATCTCTTAGTGATCTTATGTTTATCAGTTGAATGCCACAGATTCCCTTTTGAACTTATTTTGCTTTAAAAAAAAAAAAAGAAGAAAAAGAAAATTTAACTTAAAATATTTTAGCATTAGTTGCACAAAATGTTTGGATAAAATTCTAGTTTTTATAAGTCTTTTTATATATTTAGCCTGTCACAACAGTGCTCAAGATTGTATTGAAGTTTTTCTGCATTATACAACCCTAAACACTGAGATCTCACTGACCAGCCACCCCCTTAACCACTTTCTTTCCTCCTTTTGCCTAATACAGCTCAGCTAAGTCCTTCCATAAAGATGCTAAATCACTTTCATCATTACATAAATGTCTTCATGAACAAAGGACTGTTAAGTGTATTAAAATGAAACAGTGGGGTTTAGTACTCCAAAGGAACTCTTTAAAAAACTAATCTTGGCATCCTATCACTATGTGATATTTTGTACATCTTACTGTATTTACAAGTTTATTTATCAAGGATTATCCATCTTGCTAATGGCCTATTATTTATTTCACTTTTTGTTGGTCTTTATATCCTTTTATTAATGTGCTAAAGAAACCTGTATATCTATTTTGGAACTCCTTTGAATAGTCTAAAATAGACTAAAAATGGAATATTTTATAGTTTATGTTACAAAACAAGGTGTCCCCCCACCCAAGATATATATATCTTGGTTTACCATGATTCCAAACAAAATTATCTTGTTTAAAAATATTTGGAGTAAAATTTTATTTGCATTACAAATAGGATACAAAGTAGTTCAATCAGGAAACAGAAATCTGCTGTGTTGGGACTAGTTTTCCCTGTTTTATTTTTTTAGATGTGCTTAATTTTATGGTGTACCTAAAGATTTTGTTTGTGTAATGCATGATTAAGACAATAAAGTATTTTTTCTAGTCTTCCAAAAAAACTTTTCCGATCAGTTTGCAAGTTTTGATGAGTTTTGTAAGGGTTTTTGTTTTACAAACTATGAATCAGCAAATTTTTAAGATTGTACCACAAAGCAAACGTACAGCTGTTGAAAAATAATGTATATAAAATGCATATAATAAATATAAATTGTGTACCTGTATGTTACTGTTGGCTACATCATTTTGTGTTGAATAATAAAGTGCAATACTCTCCATAATTAAACTAGGAAATGGAGATGGTTTCTTAGTCTTTCATTTTTATGCTGTTATTTTTATACATTATTTTGCTCATTGGTATTTAATTAAGATTAGAACAGTGATGCTCTTAACTCTTTTTGAAGTATTTCACCCTATCTATTTGGTGATTTATAAAAACTATTAATAGAAATTAGACCATTCTAAGTAACTAAAAAAAAAAAAAAAACTTAAACATCCTGTTCTTTATTTAATCTGAATTTCAGTTAATGATGGTGTCCTATCTAGCTATACTTGTTTCACCAAAAAACATTTGGCAAAGAATAAACTGTATTATTCATTACTTAAAAATTGTTCTTATAAATGAGATTAAGTATTAATATTCTGAAACTTTCCTTCAACAACAAGGTAATTCTTTTACTTGAAAGGAACTACAAATGGATTTAGAAGGGACACTAGAAAATTTACATGTAAAATCTATTTGAATGCCTGCTGCAAATGTTAAATTACATTGTGTGTGCATTGAGAAATTCCAGATAGAAATTTTAGTTTTTATCCTGAAACACTTAGACTTCTCAAAACCTTTAGAAAAAAATATTTTTTTCTGAACTTGAACATTCAACTAATGAACAAATTCAACCAATGAATAAAGGGGCACTTTTCTCCTGACCACCTCCTGCCTCCTGCCTCCTCTCTCCTCTCTCTTCTCCCTTTCCCTCTCCCATCCCCTCTGTCTCCATCCCTCCCCATCCCTCCCCCTCTCCTCTTTAATCTCTCTTAAGTTTTTGCAAAGCTTGTATTGTTTCTGGCAGCTGTTTCAACCAATTGCTTTACTGCTTTAACTATAATGTGGTTATTTTCATTGCAATATATAAATATTCACCTCTTTTGGAATGTATTAAAACTGTAATGGATAAAATCAGTATATGTTTATTTTTCTCTTAACCTAATTTGGTTATGTTTCTTTATAATATTAAACATTTGAAAGAGACTAAAGGGATGCAAAAAGAATTGTCTTTTATTTGTGTGCTATTTGTGACATGGAAAATAACAGATTAGGTTATGAAGTAGGACTTTATACATAAGGTTTGAGGATATTTTTATAAACAAACAATATGTTGACTTTGTCATTTAATCATATTCACCCTCTTTCATATTTGTATTTTCTTATTTCAAAACTGTTATCCACTGAAAACTAACGGTACATTAAAAGTTGTAAATGAGCTAGCATATTTGAAATTTAGACATGCCTGCTGAAGTTGAATTATAATATATGTTTTTAAAAATGTTTTACTCCTTTTAGTTGTAAACCCTTTATCCTGATTGTTTACTCAGAGAAATTGATAGTTGCTTAAAGTTCTGATTTCTGCTCTTGCTTGTTACCTCAGTAAAATATTCACTTCCCTGATTACTAAAAATTTTGTCCTTTATAGAATTAAAACACACACACACACACACACACACACACACACACACACACACACACACACACACACACACA